ATGAACACCTGGAACAATGTTGGGGACAGCGTGCAACCTTGTGGGACCCCCTGCTCAATGTCGAAGAATTTTGACAGTTCTCCGTCTAGCATGACCGCGCTTTTCGTGCACTCTGTCATCTTCTTCAGCACTCTCCACATTTTCCCCTTGATCCCGTACTTGGACAATCGTTTGCACAGCCCATTTCTCCATACTGCTGTATCGTACGCCTTTTTCACGTCCAGGAAGCAGCAGTACGTCGGCTTTCCCGCCCTCTTTCTACCTTGGATGATTCTCCCCACCGTGAATACGTGGTCTACGCACCCCGTCTTCTTTCGGAAACCTGCCTGACCCTCACTAATGCTATGTTCCTTCTCCAATACTCCCACTATCCTATCGCTCAGCAGCTTGCAGAACACTTTTCCTACTGTGTTCAACAGTAGTGTGATTCCCCTGTAGTTTCCTGGGTCAGTCTTGTCTCCTTTCTTAAACAAGTTCACAACCACTCCTTCCCTCCATCTACNTTCTTTCGGAAACCTGCCTGACCAGCACTAATGCTATGTTCCTTCTCCAATACTCCCACTATCCTATCGCTCAGCAGCTTGCAGAACACTTTTCCTACTGTGTTCAACAGTAGTGTGATTCCCCTGTAGTTTCCTGGGTCAGTCTTGTCTCCTTTCTTAAACAAGTTCAAAACCACTCCTTCCCTCCATCTACTTGGCGTATACTCGTTTTTCCACACCCAGTTGTACAGCAGTACACACTATCAGCTGGATCATCCCCTTCCCCCCAAACTTCATGAACTCGTTGACTATCCCATCCGCTCCTGCTGCTTTGTGGCACTTCAGCTTGTTCACACACGCCTCAACCTCGTCCTCAGTGAACTTCTTTTCTAGTTCTACGTTCCCAACGTCTGCCTTCGATGTCTCTTCTTCTTTTTGGGCCCATGCGTCCACCTCCTTCTTAAACACATGGCCAAAAGCTTAATTCTCCGAGGGCACTCCAAGTCTCTTGTAGTGTCCTGATAGAGCTTCCCTTTTTCCCTTTCCACTGCTGACAAATCCACCGTTCACACCTCGCAACGTTGCTACCCCTGTATCCCCCCCTTGCGCGGTCTTTTTTACCATTCCACTAATCCCTTCCCACATCTNTTCTTAAACACATGGCCAAAAGCTTAATTCTCCGAGGGCACTCCAAGTCTCTTGTAGTGTCCTGATAGAGCTTCCCTTTTTCCCTTTCCACTGCTGACAAATCCACCGTTCACACCTCGCAACGTTGCTACCCCTGTATCCCCCCCTTGCGCGGTCTTATTTACCATTCCACTAATCCCTAACCACATATGCTTGACGTTCCCCTCCAGGCCTCCGTTGGCCTGCTGCACTACTTCGTCCCACATGCACTTTTGCTTCCTTTTCACTAGTCCGTTCACCTGTTTTCTCTTGGCCCTGTACTTTTCCCAANAACCACATATGCTTGACGTTCCCCTCCAGGCCTCCGTTGGCCTGCTGCACTACTTCGTCCCAAAT